GATGAAGCTTATCCCCCATCATCTCCACCAAGCAGCTGCCATTCGAGTAAGTTGCATTGTACACGTTAATGACCAAGTTCTTGGATCCATTAGCTCATGTTGTGGACCAATCACTGCAAAGATGAGATTTTATTCATGGCACTTGTACTATCCATCTGGTGACTGTATTGTACTCCTATCCTCTGTTTTCAAATGTTCTAGAAATTGGATGTTGAATGTGGCATATGTTCTAGTCCCTATGGTTACATAGTGGAATTGATAGTTTAAGACTTGCTAAGGCCTTTTCTTTGCAAAACATTTTGTTTTTGAGTTTCTAAGATATTTTTAGAATTGAAATTCTGATTGTTTGCTATAGACATTTACTGGATTAGAAAGTTCTTAACTTGTATTTTCATTACATTGGTAAAATGTGTTGCTTGTTATTATCATGAAATATGTTGTTACTTTCTCGATTTATATTTTTATTGTGCTTATGCATATATGAGAATTGTGTATCTCATATGCTGTGTTTCCTGGATGTAGGGTGGATGTTGCAATCTTCGTGATATGGGAACTTGTCATTTTAGCATTCCTCGTTTTCTCTGCTGTTTCTTTATATTTTAAACATTTGAGGCTTGCTGTTATTTTGGTATTCATTACAATACTACTGCTTTTATGCATGAAAATTACAAAGCAAGTGAGACTGGCACGGAAAAAGAAGCGGAGAATGCTTCTTCCATTATCCATGTAGAAATCAATGAAGTGAAACTCGTTTGCAACCATGTAATAACTTGTGCGAATCCTTGCCCATTCATTGCTTTTGGTCATCTTTTCATTTTCCTACCCTTTTTTTCCTTAGCATATGTAATTGTACTGAAGGCTAGTTGATTTGAAGAATATAATTGATGCGATTAGTTCATTATGAAATTATAAGGAAGCGATTCTAGTTTGAAGAGTTTTGATGGCTGTGTTCATCTTGTTTGGAACTGTAGATTTGGTGTTTGTACTGGCATTACATGTCCTAATTATGTTTCTGTTGCACAAACTATAATATAGCAAACTTAAGGCCATCTTCCACAACCTTGTGTATGGAAATTTAGACCATATTTGTTGTTATTCAACATGCAATCAAATGGTGCATCCCTTCAATTGTATACTATTTTCCATTGTCTTGATTATGAAATTATAAGGAAGCGATTCTAGTTTGAATAGTTTTGATGGCTGTGTTCATCTTGTTGGGAACTGTAGATTTGGTGTTTGTACTGGCATTACATGTCCTAATTATGTTATTGTTGCGCAAACTTAGATACAGCAAACTTGAGGCTATCTTCCACAACCTTGTGTATGGAAATTTAGACCATATTTGTTGTTATTCAACACGCAATCAAATGGTGCATCCCTTCAATTGTATACTATTTTCCATTGTCTTGATTTCAGACATGAGTGCATGACCTTACATTTTACTTTGTGCATTCGATAGGTGACCAACATCAGAGAAGTCTCTACTAATTAGCAAGAGTTGTAAGTAGCTTTTGACATTATCATAGTCTACCTACTCACTGGGGCTTGAAAAAGTGGGCTTCTATTCCCCGTGTCACTATGGTCCATATTGCTCCCAATACTAGTAGAATGCTCAGTATCAGTCCCAGAGACCCTAGTGACCAATTGAGATACCACATTGCACTATACTTTTCTGGCTTCTTGATCATAATCCACATCAAGCAGGGATATGCTAAAGTTACCGGCAATGCAATCCCTCCAATCAATCCAGCCAAACTAGGCAAGAATGGCAATGCTATGGCTACGAAGAGTGCCAGGCATCCAAAGAACAGACGCAGTGCCGTCCTAACCCACCATGGACATGGTCTGTTCTGATTTCTAGTGTACTTGAACTCGAAATTGTCAAAAACTGGCATTGCGTATATTTGGAAAGAGGTAAGGCTGTTGATCAAGACCAAGAGACTTGTTAACCCCAGAATCACCTTACTTGTGTCATGTACATGATACTGGTCCAATGCACTCAGAATCCCTGCATTTGTAGGCATCTGGTGAAAAAGTGCATTGTCATCAGAATGGAGAATTAGAAAATTCCCATATGCCCAATAGCCTCCTATTGCCAGTGGAAACAAACAGCAGGCGATGATTAGATATGAAAACTTCACCCCTTTCCACATTGGCAGATGCGATGGGTGCTTTAGACTAGAAGGCATAGTTCCCTGCGAAATTAACTCCAATGTATGTTAAAAATCAATCAGTCAATCATGTTATGTAATAATAAATTGAAATAAGAATAATGATATGCATAGTGAAGACTATCAGTAGTCGTCATACGTAACATATAGACGACAGTTTGTTATTTAATGTAGTAAATATGTCAGTTTATTATTTGATATATTAGCCAACAAGAAATTACTATATTAATGCATCAAATAACAAACTGTCGTGTAGGGCGATAACATGGAGTTTTCACTATAAATAGTATTACCCTTTAAATAAATAAATTATCCCTTTCTTTCTTTTTAAACTTTGAAGTTAAAGAAATTAATTATTTTAAAAGGAACTTTGCTACATGTATCATTCTGTTATTGGACAGTGGCCAAAAAACTATTGTGTTGGCAGCCGGTGTAGTGTTGCCAACATTACATTGTAAATCATGTTGTACTAGTAGTTTAATTCTTAGTTTATTTACATATACTTTCAACTTTCACTAATGTAAAATATACAAATCTAATTCTAGATAGATTTTTTTAAGCTAAGCCAAACATGCTCTAGTAATTTACCAAACACAATCGATGTAGGATCCACAAAAGTACTGATATGCATTCACGTATGTAAAGTATCTTTTGTGGAATAAAGAAGAGGTAAAATCACAAACCTGTATTTCTAAGGCAAGATTGTGTCCCCTGAAAGTAAATGCAATAATTCCAAGCGCATTGAGAATGCTGCATATGTTAGCAATATCAGATTTGGTCTGTAAGGGTTCATAGGATATGCCATTTGGCCTGTTTTTGGTGACAGACAAAACCCATGTTAAAGTACAATATGTGACTGCCGTGGCGGCGCCGATCAGGGATACTCCGGCGACGGAGTTCAAGTTGGGAAGTTGAGCCAAGATCACAGCGGAGCAAGTGAAAACAATGTACCACTCAACGGTTGTTATTGAATTAGCATTGCATGTGGGGTTGCTACACACAATTTGGAAGAAGATTTTCAAGGCGGCCCCACCGATCATTATTAGGGTTATACAAGTGCCACTAGAGAGATACATCGTTGGGAGAAGCGCCATTAGTTTTCCTAGTTTATTACCTGAAACAATATCCTCTAGATGTATTAGTGGATTTATAAGTCAAACCATGTTACAGTGTTAGAATAATTTATATAATAGGTGACATAATGATATATGACAATATATTATTAGACTATTTAAAATAAAGTTATATTTTTCATCAAATCACCTCCGGCCACATGGGATTCTGGCACTACTTCTGGTATTATTCTTCAGACAAAGTGGTTTAACCCTTATAAGTTACTTGATTAGAATTTATTTATTTGAAGAACCATATAGGTAAGAGGAACAATGAACAAATTAGGACAAACTATAATGTGTCTCGTCTATTCTTTTACATGAATTTTCAAGTGAATATGGTTGGTTGAGGGGCATTGTCAAGCATAGCGTTGTGAATATGGTTGGTTGAGAGGCATTGTCAAGCATAGCGTCGTGAATAGCATATAGAACCTACTATGGATGTTCTCAAGAGAGAGGGTCCATGTCATAATATGTAACAAAGTCTAATNTAGCGTCGTGAATAGCATATAGAACCTACTATGGATGTTCTCAAGAGAGAGGGTCCATGTCATAATATGTAACAAAGTCTAATTAGTATAAGTTGTATCAGAAATGATCTCTTAAGTATCGGTGCTTAGCTTATATTAAGCACCAGTGACATGACACGTCCTTTAATTGGTGAATAAGTTAATGGTAGGTCTCATGTATTTAATGATTTACCAATTAAATGATGTATTATATCACCGATATTTAATATAAGCTAAGCACCGCTGTTTAGGAAATCATTCCTGTAAGTTGCATAACCTAATATGGCAGTACAGATTTGATTTTGTTCCATCTATCTTAGAAGAGGAAGGGACCGAAAAATTATGCATACAAGGTAATTATTAGAGATAATAATTAATTACCAAAAGCAGCCATTGAGAGCAAGAGGTATCGGCTATGGCGAGTTCCAGGGACGGATTCATGGAGTTGGATTAGTAACCATAACGTGTATAATTGCCATACAAATGCCAATGATAAGCATATAATTCCCCATGTCCTGCAATTAATAAGTTGATAGAGAAACCTCATCAGATGTTAACAGACAAAATTTAAAAATATAAACATTTCATCTTTGACCGTTTAAACTTTTAGATAAGGATTGTGCTAGTGTGACAACCAGAGGGTTGTCCAGGGGAGGTATATGGTTGTCCAGGAGGCCCTGGACAATCAGGGAGTTGTTCAAGGGGCTTAAGCCTTTAGATAAATTTAGTTTCACTTTATCCGAAAGAAGCGTGCACTCTTTGTTTGCCTCGAGTTAAAATATATCTATTTATAATTTTGTTATAAAAAATTAACTTTATCGTCAACATAAGTACCATTATTTTTTTATTATAAGTAATTTCTCACTCCATATACTAAAGTAAAGTTTATTAACTTACCAACCAAGTGCAGCAAAAGCAAGTGGAAGAACAAGGGCTTGAATTCCAATCCCTGAACTTAGGGTATGAAATGCAGCATAATATGCATTCCCATTTCTTGACTCAGTAATGGGAAGCCAATCTTCTTGTGGATCAAGCTTCGTCAGATGACCAATTTCTTCAAGGTAATTTTGCATGCTTTTCATGGCCTTTTTCATCGGACTCGCTAAAGGTGTAATCACAGAAAATGGGCTCTTAAGGTTCTTTTGATTATCTGAATCAAGAATCAACGGTGACCGACTCAATTGGTAGGGTGGTGCTGAGATCACCGGAACTGGAGATTCTGATCTAGAAGGGTTTTTCACGATCATTACTGGGCTTGAATATACTTCCACGACCTCACTCATTTTTCAATGATTTGAGTCCGTGTGTATAGGGGTTTGAGTTAGAAAATAATGAATGATTTGAGCGTAAATATAGAAAAAATTTGAGTGGGGTATGGTGGAGAAGAGAAATGAGAATCAAGTGGAATATTTTTCCGAACCCCACTTTGGCTGCTGTTGTATCATATTAGTTTAATTAAAGATTATAAGCAAATAAGTGATTAACACGCTATAGAATTTGTTTGCTTCAATGCAGACGCCATGCAGATTAAACTTCGCAGATTATGTACTTTTCTCTTTTTGACATTATAATTCTCTTTTTCATTGTGCAAAGCGCTAATTAAGGTTCAATTTGATTCGAATATTAAGTGAAATGCGAATAACTTGTCTTGATGCTCATTTGGAAAACAATGCGTATTAGCAGAGAAATATATTGTATGTTTGGTAATTTATTTAGATTATAAGAGATTAATTTTACGAAATGCGTGGATAAAAGTTGTAGATCTTGCAGAGTATGTAAATAAAAATGATGTATGGTATAGCTTATAATCTTGAAAAAGTTTTACCAAATAGAGTGGTTATTGAAACAAGTGACATGTGATGTTTGCTTCTTCACAATATAATGGTTAGACGAGTTTCCGTACCTCACAGAGTAGCTTCTGGCCATCAATCGAAATCGATAGAAGCACATCGTTCCAAACTTATGATAATATATGAATTGAAATTTTTTATTTTTATATTTATATATATATTTTTTTATTTTTTGGTTGTACTTTAGTTTTCTTGCTAACGAAGATTTGGAATTTTCTATATGTATGAAAGGAAATTTCTCAGTGGTTAGGCCACAAACTCGCAATAGTTTTTTCATGTCCTTCCAAGTTCATCTCTTTCTTGGAAAGTATGGTGTACTAACCCACTTGAAGACCTTTCTTTGTAGGGTACAACAATAATAAATTGGTGAAAGCTATGTGGATACGTTCACATTTTCGAAAATTGTTTTAAAAAAAAAAAAAAAAAATTCCTTCACTTAGCCCCTATTTGCCTACCATTCTCTAAAGACATTTTTTTTTTGCCAAAACTTATTTTCAACAACATATTCTCACTATAAAATATTTTGCACGTAAATCTAAAAAAATCTCTTACTTTTTTAATCATGCATTCTTCAAAAAAATCACAATTTCAGGACTCAAAAAAAAAAAAAAAAAAAACCTCTTTTTATTGGGCATCAGACAGGGATTTATTTTTCTATATTTGTCTCTATTATTTTTGTTCATTAATGTAATATACTAATAATGCTGAGTATGTGTTTAAATGGGTCGAATTTAGAAATTTGACAACTTCATTTTGAACACTTTTTTGTCCATTTCAATATATCATCGAGTCTATGAGATAGCAACTACGCCACCTTAAAGTAGGAAAATGAACATTCTCTGTCTGCTAACGTTTGCAGTGATGCAATGTGATGATGCAAAATATTGCATTCTTTTAATTTGCTTTGAAAGGGCCAATAAAAGTATTCCATTATGTCAAATTATTTAGGAATAAGAAAGGATAGATTCGCCAAACTGGCAAAAATGAGGGCGCTTCAAGGCTGGCAGATCAGAGATCGTGAGTTCGATTTCTGGAAGGCTCTTTGAAAGCAGATATTCTCCTGCCTTCCAGGATTTATTTTGGAAGGCAGGAGCTCTACTGGAAGACAAGGTGCAAAGATGGGAAACAACTTGCTAGACACTTTGGCAGATCAGTTGTGTGGTTCTTGAGCATTGGTCAGTTTGGGGCACAACCTGCGTTTTAACCTGTCTGCAGCTTGAGGGGCCAAGGTGTAGATTCCAAGATTTAGTCACTGTAAGGTAGATACTTAGATATTAAAAAAAAACAAAAAAGAAAGGATAGATTCGAGTTGCAATAAAAAATTCCCGTTGTTAAAATACTAATAAGATTACATTCTCCCTAATAAACATGACTGAAAAATTGTGAATTATGTCATGTTCACAAAATTAACGACCTAGTTTGGTCTAATTACCCCCCTTGTACCAGGGATCTTTTGCCAGACAATGTACAACGCAGCACCTGATTGTCAATTATTATTATTATTTTTTTCTCGAACTGTCGCGATAAAAAATTAACAAGTAACCCTATATATCACGGCAAAATTCTCACGACATGTAGTAGCTTTCAATTTGGTCACCGATGTGGCTAATGTTGTTCCATGTGGTCTAATGCACAGACACTAACTACACCACTTTAAAGTAAGAAAATTGGACTTTCTTTGTCTACGTACGCACCACGTGTTTGCAGTGACGCCATATCATGATGCTAATTATTGCATTCATTTTCATGAATTTCTATATATATAATCGAGCTACAATGGGAATTTTTGTTGTTTCTGCACGTACAAACGTCAAAATATGAGTAGGTCCATAACATAAGCTCACCATGCATTACTGAAAATTGTGTAGATTTAACGAGCAGCAAATAGAGTAGCAAATGAAGAATTTACTTTATTATTATTGTTCATATTATTAAATTTTCATATACATCCCTTTTAATCTAAAATACCTATTTCTAAATTGATAGTTATGTTGGAATATTGTTCGATGTATATAATGGAGAGTGATTTGGAGTGATTAAATGTTGATCAATCATGAAAAAATCAAGAGTGAGCAAAACGAAAAGAAAAAAATGGAGGTGAGCCGAAAATGACCGGGCACTTGGATGGCTTTGTCATGGGCACTTGCCCTAAGTAAATTTTTGCCCGTTGAGATTTTGAATTCTGGTGTTTTTTTAATCATATTTTAAACCTTTTTTGCTTGATTTTTGTATATTTTCTCGTAAGGTTATTGGAGTACTATATATAAGGATAGTTTTCATGATTGAAAACATATAAAAACATCAAATCTATACCATTGTATCCAAATCAAAGATCAAACCTAATTTCTAAAACTTTGTTCTCAAGTCCACTGTCCAAGTTTGTTGCCCGATTCAATATTTGGATTAAGGTTTTGATACTCCTACAAACTATTTGCAATAGAAAGCCTTCAAGCACTTATTTCTGCAGTGACAAATATCGTTTGAGGACAGCGATTCATATTCGTGTTCATACTTTCCATTTGGTGGATTATTCTTGTTGCTGGTTTTATTTGTTCTTCATCAATTTTTTATCAACAATCTCAAATGATATTTTATTGCGATGGAGACGGAAACTACCTTGGCAACCATCAAGTTGATGAACCAAGACTTGGTTCGCTTGGATAGATTCAACAGAACAAATTTTCCCCAGTGGCAAGACAAACTAAAATTTCTATTGACTGCATTAAAAATCTTTTATGTTCTTGATCCGGAACTTGCGCTAATATTTGAACCATCCGATGAAGAATTTGAAGAAGTATGAGCCGAAAGAAAGAAAAGACAAGAAGATGGATTAATATGTCGCGCTCAATTATAAATGCTCTATTTGACCGGTTATATGATTTTTACACCAACATCACTTCGACTACAAAATATGGGAAGCACTTGAGAACAAATACAAAGTCGAGGAGGAAGGTACCAATAAATTTTTAATTTAAAATGTTAGATAAACTTCAAGTGATAGTCAATAAATTGAAGGCGATGAAGAAGCAGTTATTGTTAAATTGCCTCCAACTTTAAACGATTATAGGAAGAAAATTCTCCACAACTCCCGAAAATTTTTCTTTGGAACATATATAAAAACATCTTCACATAGAGGAAGAATCGACGACACAAGATAAGACCGAAAGTTCTTATGATAGCTCATCGAAAGTCAATGCCGTGAATAATGTTGATCGCTCTAACAAATAGAAAAAAGGAAGCCTCTTGGTTCTAAAAAGGATCAAGCAAAGGTAAAAAATAAGTCTAAAGGACCTTGCTATGTTTGTGAAGATCGGGATACTATGCAAGAGATTGTAGGCATAAAAAGCAACCAAAGGAGAAAAATGTGAACTCCATTGAAGAAATTCGATGAGCAAAATCAATGCAATCCAAAGCAAAGTTTCGGGATGGTGGTATGACACGTGCTACAATCCATGTTTATTATGATAAGTCACTTTTCAAAACTTATCATGATATTGTTGATGGATAAGAGATTCAAATGGGAAATGAAGGAAGATCTAAAGTGATTGACAAAGGAAACATCGATATCATCTTCACTTCGGGAAAGAATATTACTTTGACCAATGTTTTTCATGTACTAGACAAGATTTTCAACATAGCAAGTGCGATTCATTTGAGAAACTCGGGAATAAAATATGTATTTAAGTCGGGTGAACTTGTATTGACCAAAATGGGTATTTTGTTGGTAAGAGCTATTCTAGTGATGGAATGGTCAAGTTATATACGATTGAGTATGATTCTAATAACAATAATAACAAATCTTTTGGTTATATGATCAACTCATTTACTTTATGGCGTGGTAGATTAGCACACATAAGTATTAACACTATGAAAAGAGTGGATAAATGTGAATAAATTTCGTGCAAACTTGATAACTTAGATAAAACTGAAATGTGGCATGTAATCTAAAATGATTAAAAAGTCATTTCTTAGTGTAGAAAGAACATATCAATTACTTGAACTTGTGCATTCCTATATATGTTAATTGAATGACATGCTAATAAGAGAAGGTAATAGATATTTAATTACATTCATTATTGATACTTCTTGATATACTTAAGTTTATCTTTTAAAACATAAAGATGAAGCATTAAATGCATTTAAGATATATAAGCAATAGCTGAAAATCACTTAGAAAGAAAAATAAAGACTCTTAGAAGCGGTAGATGTGGAGAATATTTTTCTCTTGAATTCATCGTATTTTGTAAACAAAATGGCATTATACACCAATGTTATGCACTACGTACACCTGAACAAAATGGCTTAGCTAAAGGAAGAATAGAACATTCTTAAAAATGATTAATCCCATCTTATTATACAGTGAATTACTTTCTAAATTATGGGATGAAGCCTGCATGTCATATAGTAAATAGAATTACTCCAGAAAAAAAATAATGTTTCTCCTTATAAAATATGGAAAGGAAGGAAATCAAATATATGAATGATATCTTATAGTGTTGGGTGTCTTGCTTATTGCAAGAATCTAAATCCCAAGAGAACCGAGTTAAGCCCTGAAGATATAAAATGTGCTTTCATGCGGTATGTCTCAAATACTAGGAATCCAAGGTTAAAATAGAATCAAAGGATGATGAGTTTTTGAAAATATATTGGCAACTAGAAATTCTTAAAAT